CCAGGGGGTCAGCCTCCCAGCCCAGAGTTCCTCCATCCTGGCTCAATGTGCTGCAGAGGGACTGGGTGGGGACAAGGTGCTTCAGTGTGGTGTTAGCTGGTAGGCAGCCCCCTCACTGAAGCACCCTCATGCCCCAGCAAACCCTGTCAGCATCTACACATGTACTGCTATGCATGAAAAAACTCTGCAACAGGGTAAGTGCTTGTATTTACAAGTACTAACCCTGCTGCAGTACTCCAACTGCGGTCTGACCAGTGCCCGATAGAGGGGAAGTATCACCTCCTTGGACCTATTCGTCATGCATCTGCTGATGTACGATAAAGTGCCATTGGCTTTTTTGATGGCTTCGTCACACTGCCAACTCATGTTCATCTTGGTGTCTCTGCTAGGACTCCAAGATCCCTTTCCACTTCCGTGCCACCCAGCAGGTCATTCCCTAGGCTGTAGGTGTGCTGGACATTTTTCCTCCCTAGGTGCAGCACTTTGCATTTCTCCTAGTTGAATTGCATTCTGTTGTTTTCTGCCCACTTGTCCAACCTGTCCAGATCTGCTTGCAGCTGTTCCCTGCCCTCCGGCGTGTCCACTTCTCCCCATAGCTTTGTGTCATCTGCAAACTTGGACAGAGTACATTTCACTCCCTCGTCCAAGTCACTGATGAAGACATTAAAGAGTATTGGTCCAAGGACCGAACCCTGTGGGACCCCACTTCCCACACCCTTCCAGGTCGAAACTCCTGGAGTCGCCAGGAGTGCAGCCCAGCAGCTTGGAGAGCAGCATCTGGCCAGTAGGTCTGTTGGGGGAAAGGAGCATGGGGGAAGGTAAGAGGCGGGGAGGAGGCAGATCGAGGCCCCCCACAGTGAGGGAGGGCGAGGGGTTGGGGTGGCGCAGGACAGAACCATGGGCAACTCCTTGCCACTGTGCACACCCTCAGGGGAGACTTAGGGGGCACGTGCCCAATGGATTTGTGCATGAGGCAAGGGCAGGTTGCCTGCTGCGGGCTGCGCGGGCCTCATCCCAGAGAGGGAGGATGGGCTGGGAGGGGGCACTACAGCAAATTTTGGAGTGGCTGTAGCCCATCCCGTAGCCATCTTCCCAGCACTGCCACTGCCCTCCCTGAGTCTAGCCCCCACCCCTGCCCCCACAACTTGGAACAGGCTGGCGCAGCCCCTAGCCCGGAGCCCCCAGCAAGTAGCCCACCCCTGCCCTGTGCACAACAGTCTGAATTCCACTCTGCTGTGCTTTTACCTTTAAAAGTCCTCATTTTAACTGCTCTATTTATATTTCCAACCTATTAAAAGAGCAATTCTGATTTTAAAGGGCAATTGTCAGAGGGAGAATAAACAGAAAAGCAAGTTATACACTTGTAATCATCAGCAAAATTTTCCTTTAATGTAAATGGTAACATCCTATCACCCATAATTTTAGAAAGAGATTTTAAGTGTCACCAAAAAATGAGGAAAATATTTTCACAAATATATATACACAATGAAATGGGCAGCTTTACTGCTTTTGACATTCTTTAGCACATCCTGGAGTTCCAGAACAGACTTATGTCTTCTTTACCTCTACAGAGCTGTGTATTTTAACACTTATTTGGGAGTAATGATGTAATGTAAAAAATGTCAAATAGCCCTGACCTCTGACAGCACCCCATCATCTTTGAAATTTTTTTCCCCCCAGAAAGCTTACACAGTGAGAAATATTGACTTTGTTTTGCTTTGACAATTCATATTTCCAAAAGTTAAGAAAAACAAAAACAAACATTAAACCATTTCTCATACTTCGAGAATGATGGTCTTGATAGGCCCATCAGTCTTACCTCAATCCTGGGGAAACTCTTTGAGAAGATCATCAAGGAGCACATTTGTGATGGGCCGGCATCAGGGGTGATGTTGAGGGGCAACCAGCATGGTTTCATTAGGGGCAGGTCATGTCAGACCAACCTGATTGCCTTTTACGATTAGGTCACAAAAGCATTGGATGCAGGTGTCGCCATGGATGTAGTCTTTCTGGACTTCAGCAAGGCCTTTGCCACGCTCTCTCACCCCACCCTCGTTAAAAAAACTAGGCGACTGTGGCATCGATGCCTACACGGTCAGATGGATTGCTAATTGGCTGAAGGGTCATACTCAGAGGGTGGTGGTGGACGGGTCATATTCGACCTGGAGGGAAGTGGGCAGCGGAGTCCCCCAAGGCTCGGTCCTTGGGCCCACACTGTTCACTTTCATTATCAGCGATTTGGACGATGGGGGTGGAAAGCAACCTGTTTAAATTTGCTGATGATACCAAGATTTGGGGTGAGGTGGGCACGCTAGTAGGGAGGGAAAGACTGCAGAAAGACCTGGATAGGTTGCAAGGGGGGGCTGACAAAAACAGGATGTGTTTCAATACAGACAAGTGCAGGGTGCTGCACTTGGGCAGTAGTAACCGGCAACACACTTATAAGATGGGAAACTCCCTTCTTGAGAGCACGGAGGCAGAAAGGGATCTTGGAGTCATCATTGACTCCAAGATAAACATGGGCCGACAATGCGAGGTCACTGTCGACAGGGCTAACCGGACCCTATCGTGCATCCACAGGTGCATCTCGAGTAGGGCCAAGGAGGTGATCCTCCCCCTCTACGTGACACTGGTCAGGTCACAGCTGGAGTACTGTATCCAGTTCTGGGCACCCCACTTCAAGAGGGATGTGGACAACATTGAGACGGTCCAGAGGAGGGCCACCCGCATGATCTGGGGACAGCAGGGCAG